CGCCTCGCTTCGCTCGGGCGAGCGCCTGGGCGAGCGCCTAGCGCCTCGGGCGTTTTTGGACCTTGGTGCCTTTTGGCGCCTAGCGCTTTTTAAATCACTGGCGAAGGCTGCAAGCATCTCCGGCCTTCGGCGACAAACGCGACAAAGAAGAAACCGAGCCGCCGTGTCTCTGTTACCTCCTGGATCGGGATCGTCGAGGGAGGGCAGCGTCGGATCAGGAAGCGTTGAGATTCTCCCAATTCTCCCTCTTCTTCTAGTGCCTTCTCCCTCTTCTCCCTTGACGCTTTTTTTTCGCTCGTTGCAGCCAGGCCACAGCTAGGCTGATACCGCCTGGTAGCGGGCGACGACCGTCGAAATCGACCGTTATCGATACAGCCCCGTATCAACCGATACGGGGCTAGATCAACGGTACCACCCAGTAGTGAGCGGTCCACGTATCGGTCTGCTGGCGGATCAATACGTACCGCCCAGTATAGGCGGTATCATTCGAAATTAAAATCCTTACTTTATTGTATCTGTTTAGCATTGCAATATACACTGGGTATGCTATAACATGATACAAATACTCTAATATATTGAATCTTAAATAGATGACTAATTATTGAGCAGGTTTGTTGAAATAGTAATTCTCATGGAACAAAGTAGGATCACATATGTGAAGTTGATTTTACTTGTTTTGCTAGAAATCTTAATAAGTATCAAGTTGATGTATGATATTTATTTATCGTGAAATAGCCTATTATGCACAATTGTCACTGCTGATGTGACATCATTGAGTATCAAGCTAGCATATGACTTTATTTATCATGAAAAAGGCTAGGATTGATAATTTAATTGCTAGCTAAACATTTAAGATTTAGATGGAATAAATGAAAAGATGAAAGCCTTTATGTTTGTTTACTCTGCTGTCTTGGCCTGTGCTCCTATTGCTCAGAACCTGAGTGTGGCACAGACCATATTTTCATTCAGTTGCAATAATAATCAGTTTTAGATTAAGAAATAGAAAAACTCACTTTGTAGTCTTTGATCTAAATCTTAAAGACCATTACTGAAACCACCATCCACTATGCTTTAAGTATAACTTATGAATATGCTCATTGTATAATATCTTGACAGGAAACCCCTTTCTGTTAATCATTTTAACTGCTTTGGAGAGTCTTAATTGATGAAGTTTAGCAACAGAACTCGAGATCTAGGTTCTGTTGGGACACTTAGGCTTGGTGGTTGACAAATTGTATGCTCCTACTATTTATAGTGAAATGTTGATTGTCAAATGAATGTTGGCTTTTTCTTTTGCAACCTAATAGTGAGTCACACCAAGTGGTGATGAGCATAGTTCTAATTTTTTTCCTTGTGATACTATATAATGTTATAGATCATCAAAATCTGAGTAACTGTTTGAAAAGTTGGATTTTGAATTAGGATTATTTGTCAAACTAGTCAGTATTTATTTATGATGAATGTTTTGAATTTTTGATATTGAATGCTTTGACATTGAGTTTGTTATGCTGTTCCAGTGCCAATTACTGATCTTGATATTTGTTTATCTTGGCAGCTTCAAAACATGAACCGGATGGTCGGGTGATTTTGGCTGAATTTGACTCATGTTTCTTGCTAAATACTTATGCACCAAACAACGGTTGGAAGGAGGAAGAAAACTCATTTAAAAGAAGACGAAAATGGGATAAAAGAATTCTTGAGTTTGTACTACAAATTGAGAAACCCTTAATTTGGTGCGGAGACCTAAACGTTAGGTAAATAGCATACCTTTAGGAGGTATCTACTTGTTATTCTTGTTTTTATTACTATGACCTTTTCTTCTTTACTTTATGAAATTTCAAGATGGATTATTGATAATTTTGTTTAGTGGCTTTATGGATTAAGAACCGAGTGAAACTTCATATATGATATAATATTTTGTTCAGTCTGTTGGTTTTATTTAAAGCCTATCAGGCTTATCTGGATTTCCTTACCCTTCTTCTAGGTGAGTTAGTTGCTGACTGCTGTACCAGCCAATATTTTTATCAGTCTATTAATTCTCAAGTTCCACAGTAATATTGTCCTTGGTCTGGAAGAAATTAGCTTTGCTCCTCCAACCCTCATGGTTATCGTACCCATTACCTATCTCATGTGAGTGTTGTGAAGATGTCATTCTTCGTATATAACCACCTCTATTCATCTGGTAGGAGCTCCTATCATAAACCGGGTCTTCAAAGCAACGACTTTTGCAATGTCACTAACATGGACTCTCTAATTCATCCTCCCATTTTAACTTTTCTTGTTTCAAAACCATTATGTTATTTTTCTAGATTTTGATTTGTTGCTTTATGTCCTTGCTGCATAGTATTGCCTTTTTTTTATCGTTTTGAACTTATCTATAATGTTTTCTACCTTACAGATTTAAGAGCCCCCTAGTTTTCATAACTTATGATTTGTCTTTTACATCCATAAATTCAATTTGAGGTTACTCATACTTCATAGCACTTGCTCTGTTTGTGCGTTTGTTACAGCCACCAAGAAATTGATGTGAGCCATCCTGAGTTCTTTAGCAACGCAAAGCTAAATGGATACATTCCTCCAAATAGAGAGGCAAGTTCTTAGCCTTATATTCACAATTATTTGAACTGATGTTGAAGTCTTTAGAATTGCTACTTCAGTCAGGATCCTTGTGTTAATATCGAAAACAACCGTAAATTGTTACACGTGCACAGATTTATTCTTTAGTTTCCTTTACAATGTTGTATAGAGTTGTATAATACATTAAGCTACTTTAATTTTAAGCTTTCTTAAGGTTTGGGCATTTCGAATTGGTCAGAAATTGACAAAATGGAGTATTTTAATTGGGTCAATCACATTAGTTCATTGCATTGGAATTGAGAGAATTAGTGTGATGGCCTGATCTCAAACAAAACATACTTGGTTGGTTGGGACCAGTCGAAATCTGTTAGGTTTTGACTGTAATTTTGTACCTAGAGGTTGTAATAGGGAAGCATATTCCCTAGCCAATCTTGCTAGACTCACTTTTTGTAACTTTGCTGTCTCTAGCAATTTTGATAACAAGCAACTTGGCAATATAATAATTTTCTTGCTCTATGGAAGAATGAACGATTATAAAGGAAGCAAGGACTTAAATTTGGGATGCTGCCAGATTTATGTACTAACCTATTTTCGGAGCAGATTATGAATTTTCATCGAAACTGGTCTTGTGTCTCAACAGTTTTGTTCGTATACTAAATGCCTTGTATCCCTTTCTTTCATACTGTTTCCATGTTTATAGTGATGTATGATGCTCTGTTTTGGTATGATCCTTGACGATTACATTTCTGACCATCCTCAAGTGACTCTGGCTAGCTACCAACCGTATACCTCCTTGTCAAACCTGCTGTTGCTCAATTGAAAGCCCTCAAAAATGTGATGAAGGATAAATTATCTGGTTATCCTTGCAATCGATTGAGTTTTCTGCTATTTATTAATCCCATGCATAGATCAGGATGTGTGGCACCTCCTTGTTGAATGCTGACACTGGTGTACCAGTACCTTATTCACGACCTGCAGGAAAGTGGCTGGCTCAAATATCTCCTTGTACCCTTGTTTTCTTTTTGGTTTCCTAGTTTTGTCTGTCTTTTCTTTTGTTTTTCTTTCTTTCTGGTTTTTTATGTTTTTTTTTCTGTATACAATGTGCTGGTCCATACATGCCATTGTCTCACAGCCACACATTACCTAAGATTGCCATGAGTTTAGCATTGTGTTATGCTAGTATGCAGGCATACCCAAAGGTCAGAACATCAGTGATAAGACATAATTCCTTGCGAGCAAAGGTGTTTTATCCTGTTATGCAAATCCTGAATTCTATAACATCACTCAGTTCAATTGCTTTATCATTAAGTATTATCATCAGTTTGTTTTAAAAGCTTTTCTCTATCTTTTCTCAACTACACAATTTTGTAGGTTTTAGCTTGTTATACTGTATGAAGTTACATTTTTTTAGATCAATGCCATGATTCATTAGACTTTTTTGTATTGATGTTACCATGTCACTACATGGTAACAAATTCAACAATTCATCTGCTTAATGGAAATTTGTGCTGAAAATTTAATCAAATCATAGACCCAGTACACAAGATTCCTTCCAGTGTAAGGTTTGGGAAGGGTAAAGCAGTTTCAGTTCATTCCAAATGTGTTTTAAAGTATTAGTGGATTCTAAGATTGTTTACATTTTACAAGCAGGATGATATTAAGAATTTAGGATATTGCAACCAAGGATTGAAATATCATACTGTACCGAAGTTTTGAGATACGCTCGATACGGTATGATACTGTATACCGAGCGGTATATTTCGGCATACCGCTCGGTATATATATATATATATATATATATATAAGTTTAAAAAAAATCTGCGACATTGCCTCTCTTCTCCCCAGGCGGGGCAATGTCGTAGAAAAACGAGGCGACATCGCCTTTATATTTATATATACCGCCTGGTAGCGGGCGGTCCGTGTACCGGTCTGTTGGCGGACCGGTACGTACCGCCCACTACCGGGCGGTATTATTCAAAATTGAAAACCTTGATTGCAACTGCCGTGGAAGTTGTTTTTTTAACTATGGACATTATCTTTAGTTTTATTTTCCTTTGTTGATAGTCTCCTACAACAAAAAGCCATGATAACTATTTGGGCTACATGGATCTTTTTTCTCATGAGCTTTGTATAGGTGATATATCTAGTTAAAGTAGGGACAAATAGATTTCATTTGTTGTTTCTAGAAAGTTTTCTTTGATTTTCCTCTCTCTCTCCAGACACCACTAATTATAATCAACTTAACTCATCTAACCTGTGTATCTATCTCTTTTGAACATGTTCATACTATTTTAGATGATTCTTACATTTTTCCCTCTATCAGAGTTGCATCTAGTAGTTTGCAAATGAAAATAGTTACTATTCTATCTTTCCTACTAATTCTACAAATTTATCTCAACATTATTATCTCAATTGGATTAACTCCTTTGTACATAATGTTTACTAGTTGCCAAACACTTTGATCCATAAAGCAAGTCTTGTCTTACAGAAAATTTTCTCTTCATCTAAGGGATCCCCAATGGCCACACAGAATTCTTGATGTCCTCCTCCAATTTAATGGTCTCTTTTTTACCCTGAGCAATGTCTTCATTAATCTTTCACATTAAATATAAGATCCAAGAGACTTAAAACATATACATACAGAAACTTCTTGTCTATTTATTTAAGTATACCTTGTTTCTTTGTTAAGCATTGTTACAAGTGCTTCTATATATTGTATCCTAGTCCTACTTAGTCGAAACCTTTATTTTATAATGTTTGTCACCATAACTGAAGTTTAAAGCTAATTCCAATTGAACCCCTATCAATTAGTTGCTGGTAATTTTTTAAGGAAACAAATTGATTTTTCTTCATATTAAATAGTTCTGAAGAGTTATGTGTTCAACTAATTCTGTACATATTTCATGTGGTACTACTTGATTTTGCTGTGATTGTCTCTTCTGTTCTCTCTCGTCTTCCTTTTGTCTATGGCAAAATTATATATTTAAAAAAAAAAGAAAGAAAAGTTACTTATCTCTGGACTCTGATGCAGGATTGTGGACAACCAGGATTTACTTTGTCAGAGAGGAGGCGTTTTGATAATATACTGACTCAGTGAGTGAATGTAGCAACGATCCTATTTTTTTGGCTCTTTCATTATGATAATGGTGGTATATCTTAATTTAGTATATGTGTTGTACATCTTGTGATTCATTTTTATGCTTATGTGATTATTTGTTATTTAAAAATAATCAACGGAAGGTCAGTAGTTATTAGAAGGGGCAGCTGTCATTGTTGTCATTGAGTTATTAATGGGAATTCTCAGTTTGAAGAACCATTGAGCACCAAATCCTTTTTCTTTAGCACATAAAGGTATCAGTCGCCTTATAGTGTGGGTTTTTTTATTCTCTGTCACCATTACACTTACTCTAGAAAGATCAAATCTGTCAGATTCTGATGTCTTCCAGATTTTCTTAACCTCTAAGCTTTAAGGAGTCGCAAAGTAGTTTCTCAGCTTTAAAGGGTGAGTATTGGCATCATGGTAAGGTTGCTACCTTTCAAGGTGAACCGAGTTTGATCATGGAAACCGCCTCTGTGATTCCAGTGATCAGGTTGTGTGTATTTAGCTTCCGTAGATCCCATATTGATTTGGTCTTGGTTTCTTAAAGTTGACAAATATTATCCAAAAGTTGATCATTAGTCACATTCTTTATCAAGATCTATGTGGGCCAAGGATTTTGATTTCGAATGATACTGCCTGTATTGGGTGGTACCATCGATTGGGGCAGTTTTCGCCTTGCTACCGCCCAAAATCGATCGGTAACGATTCGACCGTCGCCGCCCGCTACCAGGCGGTATTAGCTAAGGGAGAAGGAAGAAGAGGAAGAAGAAAAGGGAGAACCTGGAGATCCGACGTTGCTCCCTCGACGATCCCGATCCGTCACTACCCTCCCTCGCCTGACACCGCAGATGAGATGTCGCCCCCTCCTCATTTGAGGCAACGAGGCCTCGGCCTTGTCAACGACTTCTCATTCGCGTAGGGACAAGAAACAAGGCAGCGTCGCCCTTTATTTATTTATTTATTTATTTATTTATTTATTATTATTATTATTATTATTATTATTATATATATATACACCGAGTGGGACACCAGAGCGTACTGCTCTGTATGCTCGTACCGTACCGAGCTAAGCTCGATACTTCGATATGGTATGAAATTGCAAATCTTGATGTGAGCATACAATTTTAGTAACACAATCTGTGCATAGTTATATATATAGATTTTGGTAATCCACTCAATTACTTCATCAAAGTTTCTATGGTGTTCGCTTCTCAATTTTTCATTAGAATGATAGGTCATGCATACTGATAGCTGTTTTGTCACTATGTATTGGCTATGTAGCAAACAAAAGGGTGCTGTACCCAAGCACCTTTGAGAGCATCGTAGAGCAACATTAGGTGTCATATTATGTAGGACCACACAAAAGCTTGCTTCTTGTAGGATTGGGAATATTGAACTGAGTAATTAATTGCACATTTATTTTGCATGACATGTTTAATTAACTAAATATGACTGATTGTCAGGCTTACCTTTATTTACAAGACATTTTTAACTTGTCTGAAATTATTTGTTGAAATTTATTTGTTTTGTCTTCTTGTCTAATGTTCCTAATTTTGACCAAGTTTCATGGAATACCTTGTGGTCTATACTCTGCTGTCGTTCTGTCCTCTTTTCACTGCTAATTATAATTTCTGATCTCCGGCATAAGTATGTATAGATATCTCTTTCACACACACTCATGCACACAGGGCACGGTATGTTGTCCCTTTGGAAACCACAGACCACATATCGAAATGTCTTATTTAAACATAAATGTTTAAGCATGGGCAAGGTTGGATGCCCTATATTTTTTAAAGTCTGACATGGTGTCAGGGTTTTCTTTCAAGGTTAAACGTAATGGCTTGTAATTAAGTTGTTTATGTCACTAACCACAGAGGAATGCCTTATAATTGAACTATTTTCCCATACACGACCCAGAAAACTTGGTTTATAGTGGATGTGACATTGGCAATTATTCGTCATCAATAAAGCCTAGAAGTTCATGTAGATTTTCTACATAATTCTAGGGGTTGAAGTAGTTTGAACATATAAGAGTACATTTTTCAAGTAATGTATATTCAAATATGTAACAATAAATATGGTCTGCAGAGGGAAGCTGGTTGATGCATACAGATTTCTCCACAACGAGAAAGACATGGAATGTGGCTTTTCCTGGTCTGGCAACCCTGTCGGCAAGTAAGCATGTTGTGCCCTTTTTGTTCCATGACTGAATAACTTTGGCATTAAGATTCTGAAGGCCTGTGACTGATCCAACCATGAGGAATTATTGAAAAATATATACGCCTTTTATGGTTTCTCATCGGTAAAGAAGTATCTGACAGTTCCATTGGTGATACTACATTGTTGACTAAGTAAATATTGAAAATGACAACCATTAAATATTTTAAAGTTTTCGTCAACAAATCTTTTTGGTCAATAGGACAAATTTTATGATTTTTTTTTTGAAGATGAATTTAATTCACTTGAAGGCATTTAGATCAATGGAAATACGCCTAGTAAGTTCGCCACTGCTCAGATATAGACTTGTAAACTTCTTCTTACAATATTGATATTCCTCTTATTAGTATAAAATTAGAAATCGTTATGTTACCTTGTATGGCTGACAAACTTTTCCCCATGTAACATACAGAAGAATAACCAATGGATACATATATGCATTTTTTCACTACCAATATACTGACTAATTTCTTTTACATAGATACCGAGGTAAACGAATGAGGATTGACTATTTTATAGTCTCAGAGAAATTGAAGGACAGAATTGTTGCATGTGAGATGCACGGGCATGGGATTGAACTTGAAGGTAAAATAATAGCTCTTACCTAATAAAGATATAGAAATATTTTTACGGAAGCATAGAAGTGACCCTTCTGACTTGTTTGCTGTATGATTTGCATCTTGTGATCCATTGATTTCAATCACCAGATTCCTCTTCAGTCAGCTTTTATATGCCATTACTACACTTAATACAAGGGCTTCACCCTTCTCTTTTTGTGACTCCCTTCTAGTCATCCATAAATATTGTTTAGAATCATATTTTCTTTGGTGCAGGACGACATTGCTAATTTGAAATATAATATAAATTGATTATTAAACAGCCCTTGGAAGCTTTGTTAACCACATCAAAATTTTTTTCCTTGTTCAATTCCAGGTTTTTGTGGAAGTGATCACTGCCCTGTTTCACTTGTGCTCTCAGAGGAACCATGACAACCTGATTTTTTGGTGATGGTTTTGCTTGTAGTGATAATTCAGTGCAGTGATTGCTCTTTTCCTAAAACTGCTTTCTTGTTTTATTGTTATTTGCTTGTGACGTGGGACTTGTGATGCAGTCCATGCCAATATGATCAAACAAATCATTGGTCAGATTACCTCCATATCCCTTCACCACCGCAAGAATAAAAAGTTAGAGACAAGACATAAGAAGGTTTGGTTTTAGTTTTAGATGATCTGAAGATGAGATCAAGTCTGGGAACAGAGAATAGAGAGTCGTGTAATTACTAGCCTTAATGACCCAGTGATCGACTTATGAGAGGAGGGTATCATTCAGCACTGTGGTTCATTGGAAGCTTTGCTCGGAGGGCAACCCTATGTGAGTATAGACGTGCTCGAAAACTTGTTTTCTTATTTCCAAAAGGGTATCCCACTCCTAACAGTAACAGAGAGAGATAAAAAAGAAAAAGGCAGTGTCATACCAAAGATGACAAGTCTATTCTATTACACATCAGAAAACATGAGACGACAAGTAGGAATTGGCGTCAGCCCCCTCACATGCTGCTGCAATCATCAACTTAGACTAGGGTTTATGGCCATCGCACCGTTTCCATGGTCTCCGCACGCCAACCTCTTGGTGATGGGAGTGACGAGAGACGAACGCCAAGCTCTTGGATTGCACCTAAATGGCGCCTTGTGACAGGGTCGTTCCACACGAAGGTGTTCATGGCAGGAGCTACATGTATGGGCTTGCTTTGCTGTAGTCCCAGGCTGCAACGATGCACGTCAGTAGGTTGTCACAATATCCTCCTGCGATCTATTGACGTGCGTACACGAGAGGAAGATCACACATATGTTATCATCTGATAAAGCAGCAACACACAAACAAAGAACAATCCTCGTACCTTAGCAAGAGTGTTTGCGGAAAATGGGACAATTACCATGATATCAGCCCATTTCCGAAGAGCCATGTGCAAATACTTCATCCCCAAGCTTCTTCCACTGAGACCATTCGTCATCATCTGAATAGAGAGGGTCACACACCCTGGGGGTGCGAAGCTTTGTCGAAAAAACATGCAAGGATGATTTCGTCGCGACTACCCTAACTTGTTTCCGCCCACTCCAAAAAAAACAACGGCACAACATCTCAAATTTAATGGCAGCAACGCTTCCAGACGCAGCCAGGAGGATCCTTGGCTGAACACTGTCATGCTCCATGTCTTCCGATGTCAGTTCCCCATCATCCATCATGCGATGGACACGCTAGGATACATTTCTTGCACTGCATCAAATGGAGGTGGAGGAATAGTGTCAAAGCGCAAGCATCATTCTCTTAAAGATTTGTACAAGGAAACCATTTCGATCAAACATAAGACGGGAAGTAGATGTTCTTACCGATGATTTCGGGTTTTGGAGAATGACTTGATTTGCTAGATTTATGTTGAAGACCAAAATGAACTCTTGACAGAAGAAAAGGCCATGATGCATGAATCAAGTTAAGAAGAGGACAATTCCATCACCAGCATTGGGCTTTCTTATCTTAGACCGCATTGGGAAAATTTTCCTTCCACCGTATCAAACAGAGATGATGGAGGAACAGTATCAAAGTGCAAGTGATCCTGAGCAAGAATCATGTTTTAAGCATTCATACAAGGAAAACCATTTCAATCAAACCTCGGATGAAAGAAGATATCTTACGATGACTAAGTTGGGAGAATGGCTTGTCAGATTCATGTGCAAGAGCAAAAAGAACTCGTAACAGGAAAAAACAAGCCGTGATACATGAATCAAGTCAAGTCTTCTTTCACCACTTATCGTCGAATTAGGAAAGGGAAGAGCTAATCAAGATCTTGGTTTCATGCTACGACGATGTAACAAATTAATGAAGCCTCACCAATTTCCCCCCCATTTATTCCCCCCACCCTCCTTAATGCATTTCTACGAGTTAAAAAAGGGGAGACCTTTGATGTGATTAGCTCTCCCCTTTCTGCTATGATTTACAACAACTATACAATTTATGCTTCAATGTTACCAGGAAGTAGTGTCAGAAAAGAAGAGAAAGAAACAGAAAAAAGCTTTAAAGGATGACCAAAGAATTCATTCGCATAACTAAATCCATCAAAACTTTCATGAAAAAAAAGAAGAATATTTTGCTTGTATGAGAAGCCATGCTCCCAGTTTGATAGTCTTCATCAACTAAATCACGGCTAAGTGGACTAACGATTACCGAGCAGAAAGATCAGAACAATGCAAGGGGGATCAACCAAAATCCTTTCTTTGCCAACAAGATCCAGTCCGTCCGTTCGAAAGCCAAGAGCGAAGACGATGTGGAGCAACAGATGGGCTGGGTTTCTACCCGCTGCAAGCCGACATCTTTGCTCGATCGGAAGGAGAGTAGGAAAAAGAAGAAAACAAGGATTTCTTGTCCCCATTAAACAACTATGAGATCTAGGGTTAGAAGATTGGTCGATGCAAGGGAGCGAGAGCGTTACCTGGTGTCCCTACCGAGGAGGCCCAAGGGCGGGGGTTGGTGCTGGCGGCGTCTACCCTTCGGTTTGGGACTGGAGCAGCCAGCAAATGAAGAAGAAGAAGAAGAAGAAGAAGGCCGTGGGGGAAGTTGGAATGTTCATAAAGCTGTTTGGCTCGACAATTTGATGTTCCGAGGGAAACTCGTGTGTCGCGTTTTCAAAAGTTACGTTAACAAAAGTGAAACGTTTAACTCCGTTGCTATAATAAATTTTTTCTCTTAATTTTTTACTATATAAAATTATTTTTTTAACTCTATATAAAGATCTTAATATTTTATTTTATTTTATTTTCATAAATATATGGATCATAATATAATTTTTTAAAGTGAAATGATCGAGATGCTAAAGATAACTAATTATAATAGGTAATATATAATTAGTCCATGTATGCGTTGTGAGAGAGAAATAAAAAAATCTCTTATTATGAATCTAGGTGAACCCGTGCACAAAAGATCTGATGCTTGTTCAAGGCAAATGGGGACAATCGATGGGTCCAACCACCTATGCATGGAAGCATAGGTGTGATGCTTATTTAAGGCAAAAAGGGGTGCTTGGTGAGACCTACTTATGCTCGGAGGCATAAGCACGACACCTGTTCAGGGTAAAGGGAGAAAGCTGATAAAGCTAGCCTGTGCATGAAGATATAAGCGTGATATCTGTTCGGAGGAGAGGGGGGTGCCCGACAAGACTAACTTGTGTGTATTGGTATATGTAACTATGCGTGGTAATTGTTGGGTCCAACGAGAGTCAAGTGGTTGCTAGTCACCTAGGTTGCTAGTCAACTAAAAATGCGATTACACTTACGTCGCAAGTGAAGGTAAAGGGAGATATATGTATATATATATATAAATATATATATGTATACATATATATATATATATATATATAAATGTATATGTATGTATATATATATATGTATATGTATGTATATATACATGTATATGTATGTATATATACATATATATGTATATACATATACAAGTGGTTGCTAGTCACCTAGGTTGCTAGTCAACTAAAAATGCGATTACACTTATGTCGCAAGTGAAGGTAAAGGGGGATATATATATATATATATACATATATATATATATATATGTATGTATATATATATATATGTATATATATATATATATGTATATATATATATGTATATATATATGTATATATATGTATATGTATATGTATATATATGTATATATATATATATGTATATATATATATATATATATGTATGTATATATATATATATATACATTTTGCGCAATGTGCTTTATTCACCATAAAGCAGATGCATCCAGAAGTTTTGTTTTGTAAACCAGCCGTAATAAATAAATGTAAGAAGTCAAAATCCGCGTGATTTTGGCTATCCGTCAGTAAATATTTTTTTTGGAAAGTAAGCCACAATCCAAGCAGTAAACAAAAATTCATCTGAAAATTTAGGTCACACGGTGGTCCCGAGCTGAATTCAGATGTAATAGAAAATGTTTGTTGTCTTCACGCTTCGGTACCAAATGCTACCACCGGCAACAGTCGGAAGAATGGATTACTGATAGTGATAAATGATTCACAGGAGAGCTTGATTCGAAGCACACAACAACTTCATAAGAAGCATGAAATGTTGCCACCACATTTCAGCACAAAATGCTCATACACTCCTATCCTAAGAGTGAATGAATGATTCACAGGAGAGCCATGTCTCCCTCCGATCACACAATTTGTTTAGAGGCGTGAAGGAATCCCATTTACAGCTGCTACTGCTCATCCCAGTCATCGTTCTTGTAAGAAACCAGTGTGTCCACTTTGTGTATCTTCAACAAGCCATATTAGACAAAAATGAAAGTTGGGAATAAAAGATAGATAAATGCAATCAGACAGAAAGAGCAGCGCAAAGAGCTGATTAATCTTTGTCCTACCTTGGTATCAAAGGAATGTAACTTCACCATTTGGGGGTCCTTGATCAGCTTTGCATCACTTTCAATCCAAGTGAACGGGACAGCGACATCCTTATCAGTGTAGGCCAGCACATCAAACACGCCTACATTGATCAGCAGAAAGAGTTAAAAACACCACAAGCAATTTAACGGATAATGATATATATAGTTAGAAAGTAAGAAGTAATTACAGGGTTCGTCGAGACAGGGCAGGTAAGTAATGGAGGAGGCTATCTGACGCATGATGGCTTGAATCTCTCTCATGATTTCTTTGTCACTCTTCTCCTTGATGACACTGAGATTGATATGATGACCTCAAAATTCTTTCGTTTTCTATCTCATAAAAGAAAGAGTGATGTCGAGAAATTACCCCTTCTCGACGACCTCGGCATCTGTCTCTATGCTGAAATTCCATCTCTCCAGGACCTCTGAGGTGGCCTTGCTCATGATCACTAGAACCACCCTCTGCAGCTTCCCAGCCTCCAACCATTCTTCTCAAGATTGAAGAGTGAACAGCTCAATAGATTTCATATGCAGCAGCAATAAAAAACCAGATCAAGAATCATTTCTTTTAGGGGTTTACCTGTCAACTGGGATGTCAGGCCGGCGAGGAACGATTTGACGCCCTCGTCCTGGGTGAGCAGCATCGGCAGCCCATATTTCTTCACCTTGGTGAAGCTCTCTTCCGGGTAGATGCCTCGATTGTAGAGTATGCTGCAAATCCTTCTTTCAAGATCCAATCTTTGACACGAAAACCACGCCCGAGGCGCGCACAACAACAAGAAGAAGATGGGAAGCGATCCATTTGCTTACCTGTTCGCCGCATACCCTGCGGACCATCAAGAACAACAAATCAAGGAAGGACATGGGAGAAGAAGAGTTCGCCGAAGGACATCGGAGAGTAAGGGGGGAAGTACCGAAGAACTCGCTGACGATGGCGGCGGAGCCACGGAGGGTGATGATGTCCTTGGAGGCTGTTCTCGACCCCATCCTCTACTTTCAAGATCGCTTCCTGATGTTTGGATGAGCCGTTCGGTAGGGTTTGCTCTCGCTTCTTGAATCGACCTCTTTCGAGGGAGGGAATAGACATGATAAATAGGAGAGGAGGGGCGCTGATATTTTAACGGCTAGTTTTCCTCTCTTGCTATTCCGGAGGCTTCCTGGCGTTTGCCTCTCGGCGTTTGAACGCTCGCCTTCGCAACGGTCAGAAAGGAGAGAATAATACGGCAAAAAAAAAAAAGAAGGGAAATAGGACCCACTTTTGCGGGATTAACCACCACAGCCTGCCGTTTATGCCTGCTTCGAGATTCGTGTGAACGTTTTCGTTGGCGCAATTGGGTAGGAGGCGAGCCGGAGCACGTCAGGATTCAGGAACACGTGTCGTGATCAGAATGTTTGTCCAATGAACTCGATTGAGAAGACGACAGCAAAAGAAATCACAAATGTTGATTAAAGGAAAGCACAGAAGCCAACACAATATTATAGAGCATAACTGGAGCTACAACTTGGCTTTTATTTCTGACGATGCAAGCCTTGTCAAAGCCTCTCTCAAGATCTTACCTGCGGCATTCGTTGGTTCCGACTCCACAAAGAAAACATGAATGATGTATCTTCTTATAAGGTGCAACCTGCAGCATTATGAATACGGAGTATCAAAAGACTATCCATGACAAGAAAAAGTATCACAACATTACATCTTATAATTTAATGCATCGGGATATTTGAACCCAGATCGAACTTTGATGTACAAGGTTAGATACCTTATTTGACACAAACTCCATAACCTGCGACTCTTTCAAAGTGCTGTGGGTCTGTCTTACAACAAATGCGACAGCAACTTGACTTGCTTCCTCATCAGGGTATCCGTCGAAGAAACCCTGTGGGATGCTATTTGTTGACATATTACCAAGCCGCAACAAGAACTTGGTCCCAAGTTTAGTTTTCATTAATAAGATACTTGTAGTTTTACTCGCGGGACAACAGCAGCCACAATGATATCTGGCTGTGTTCGAAGCAAGCTCTCTAGTTCTGCCGGTGGAACCTGCACCATACAACTGGCAAAAGAAACCCGGCTTATGTTATGTACATGTGGCTTACAAGATCAATAACATATATAAATAAAATAAATCTCATGAATGGGCAGTATCCAAATTATCCAAGAAATAAATCAAGATTCTGAACATCACCGACACTTTGGAATCTCCACCGAAATTGAAAAGAAACTTAGCAGCTTAAAGCCAAATATGTTTGCAACAACTATGTAGTGCCGTAAACTGATGTCCTCAATTCATCAGACTACATTTTGAGACAGGTTGGAATAAGAAATCTACCTGCAGAAGAACGTCCACTTGTGCCATAACATGTTGAATTGGTGAAGTTCATTTATTTAATTGTTTTCACAGAAATTGCTTTGTATTGTTGTTTATCTTGACAGAACTGCAGGCAGTAAATAAGTCATAGAAGGGTCTAGAAAAGTGGACCCTTTTCAGTGTGTTACAAATATAGAAAGAATCATATCTGTGTCACAAACACAATTGGTTTCTTTTTTTCTTCCTCATACTCATCACCATGATCTCGTTGTCGCTAAATAATCCTGGTCCGTAGGCATATTTTTATTGGGAGCTCTAGTGATGTCGCATTGCAACAAAATTGGTCCTTAGCACACTACATGCAGTCAGGTATATAACAATACTACACTGGTAAGATTTCATATAATAAAGAAGTCCTTCGAATTTCCTAAAAGCCTTCATCATTTATCTTTAGTCAGTGATATAGCAGTTCTGGAATCTTGTACTTCGCGTTTCTGCTGAATTTGCATTCTTATGAGATGTGATTAATGTTCTCTGAATTTTATCCTTACGTGCATGTCTTCATCCCACTGATTCTAAAGTTTCCTCCCGATCACATTAGTGCAGTGACATAATCATGAACCATACTTTGGTGATCTTAAACCTAATGATGCAGAACCTTCGAAATTTGTGGTGTGACTGGGAATTACATCACGGAAACAAGGATATCAAAGTTTTGTATTTGTTACACCATTAGTTGAGTGCAAATATTGCTTAAATATGTAACTGCTGCATTCTTTAGTTTATAGGTAACTGTTGCAACTTATTTTTGAAATTTCTGTAAGTAGATCCTTTTTTCCTTCTAAATGTTTTGAAACTTTTACAAACACAAATAAGTTCATCAAACAAACTTATCTCATGAACTTATAATTCTTTAATTCTAAAAATAAAAAAAATTTAAGGTAATGCCTAGCATTATGTAAATGTAATGTTAGCTGGTTTTACCTAAGCCGTGTGATACCCTTGCGTGTCTATCAGTAAAGGTAATCTCCCCGAAGCCTTTCGTGGTCAGACAATGTCTCACTCGGGATCCACCACGAGATGCGTCACCCGTAGCCGCCCCACTGCTGCTAGTGCCCTCTTCGCATCGAACCTCTCTGTCTGGATCACCGCCGTCTCCCCCGCGGCCACCGCCTTCAAGCAGAACAGGAATCCGGACACATGGAATAGTGGCACCGTCACCATCAGCACAGCAGACTCCCGGCACTGCTGACGCCACGAACGGCGCCATCGATCCGATCAGATTCCGGCGATGACGGAGATGGCGAAGGCGATGGTTGGGCGGGAAAGGTCGAGGAGGCGGGCGATCTCAGCGGGGGTGGCGACGCCGAGGGACAGAAGGGCGGAGTCGAGGACAGGGAGGTCGAGGCGGGCATGGGAGCGAAGGGCAGCGGTGAGGGAGCGGACCTGGGGGAGGAACAGGTGGTAGGGGGATAGCAGCAGCAGTGGAGGCGTCGAGGCGGGCAGGGCGGAGCGGGCGTAAGCGGCGACGGAGAAGGGGAGTGGGTTGACTTTTGGGCTTTTACGCTTCCCGTCCGTCGGAGAGGGAATTTATGATGCGTCAACATCAAACCATTGGCCTTAAGGACTTTCATCACGACCTGTGCAATAGGGCACTTTTATGAGTCATCATCATATATCTTTTTCTCCCCAAAATAATTTGTTCTGGTGCTTTTAACTGAAGATCATTTCATATAAAAAAGACTTCCAAATGAACTGAAGATTATTTCATGCATCTTTTTCTCTCCAAAATAATTTGTTCTGGTGCTTTCAACTGAAGATTATTTCATGTAAAAAAGACTTCCAAATGAACTACAACATGCAGAGAAGATAAACATAACAAAGCACTTGGGTGTCTAACCATGTACCAACGATTAGATTGCAAATACAAAGATCAGCATTGCTGGCTATCTCGTTTAAACAAACTGAGCTAAAATATAAAAGAACTTAGCAGAACCAATGCAAACTGGAAGGTCTAATTCCTAGCTTAACAATGATGTCAATTGGTACTGTATAAGTTAAAGCTTGCCTAAGAAGGGGAAACAACCTATAAGTCACATGCTTTGATTCTGAGTGAAGCTTTGTGGCATGTGGAACCATGCAAGCCCTGGCTGACTACTGCATTGCCCTAACTTTGGAATGGGAACTATCGGTCCAAGAAATATTCGCCATAAATCAAGTATTATAGTTACAAGCATCGCGGCACCCAATGCATCAACAGCCACTCTTGGAAGGTCCCATGGTTCATCATCTATCTCATCGACTCTGGGAACCACAAAAAAATGTATGAGATACATAATGCCAGTATGGATTTTGAACTAACATAATCTACTGTAAAACACAGTCCTTTGGCGTATTTAGAAAAAAAGGGAAATACTTTGTTGTCATTCATACACCAAAGAAAATATTCAGGTTTGCCAAATCCTTTCCAATGGAAAAAAATACAGATTCATTTATAGATAAATCACTTTTGTTTAGCAAATATGACAAGCATCAAATGTTAATTGACCCAAAGAGATTCCAGTAAGAAAAAAAGAAAAAACTGTTCAGTAATGCTAAGATATTAGCTGCTAAAGTTTTTAAGTGCATGATAGATGAATTTAAGAATTTCACTTCCGTATCCCCAAAAATATTCAAATTAATGAGTTTTCCCAGTGCACATTCTTACCTTGAGAACATAGGGAAGCTCACGATGAAATAAATTGCATAGAAGAGTGATCCCACTTTGTACATTGATTCCCGATCAACAAACTCATAGTAAGGAAACTGCAAGAATTCAGAATATGAAGAAATGTCAAATGAAGTTAAAATTACATCAGAACTGAAATAAATGACCAGAAGTAATTTAAATGAGTGTTCATCGAAAAGAACTATGAGCTTTAAGCAGTATGGAGCAAGGATTGTACTGTGTACAAAATCAGTATTAATTGAACCAGTATGCTATTAAAATTTTAACATTCCTAGTGTCATGCTCAAATATGGTTGCTGATCCAATCAAATGGGCTAATTCAATAATGTTTTTGTTTTTTGATTGTTATAAATAACAATATATGTGTAATACTTTTCTAAAGAAACTGTATCATCCATGATATGCATCATTGTCATGTGTGTCATCTCTGACCATATTACCAGAATAAGATAATAAAATCATAATTAATAACTTGAGGAGTCAAACAAATAATATAATACATCTATATGATGGTAGCCAAACACCGTATTGTCACAGACTTAGCTGGTTTTGCCTAAGTCGTGCGACACCCTTGCGTGTCCGTCCGCAAAGGTCAGCCTCCCCGAAGCCTCCCATTGTCCCTTAGGACCAACAAAAGAGAGAACATGTTAGAGAGAACGCCTCAATCGGGATCCATAACCAAACATATCCGAAAAACACTTCATAGACAATGCAAATTACAAATAGACTTTACAAGCTCTGAACAGTTGCACAACAAAGGGTAAAATGGTCCATTACAGACCGAGAATCTCTCGCACGTGTCTACATGGCACAACCTTTATTTACAAGCCTAAAGAGGCCACCGACCCAACTAAAATGGGACTATTAAGCCTTCGGCCGCCCCTCTACATGCTGTACAAGGCATGAACATGCCAAAAGACACGGACATATATAAGCATTACATCAAACATCTTGTTTAGAAGTTTGTCCGTGACATTCTCCCCCACTTATTCCTTCGACGTCCTCGTTGAAGCCTTTGTCGACACTGCAACTCCTCGCCTTTGCTGAGTCTTCAATCTTCTGCTTCAACTACAAGGCGCCTCTTGGCTCCTAACTGCTCTCCGCTGCTGTTTTTGAGTAGTCGAACCT